GAGGATGCTGAGGAAACTGTTCCAGATCCTGAACAACACGTCGCATCCTTTGTATGACACCCTGGACTCTCACCGCAGCACCTTCAGTCGTAGACTGAGACGCCACAGGAAGTCCTTCCTCCCTGTGGCTATCAAACTTTTCAACTCCTCCCCTTTTCTAAACACACAGGACAATAAAATTAATCCTGCGCTACAATAAACACTTTCATGTTTCTGTCTGCACCTGGACCTGTTTTGGACCTTAACTGATGTTATTTTTTTATAGCTCTATTATTTTTATATTCTCTGTTATTTTTTTTTATATCTTGTGTGATTCCTTGTGCATGTTCCTTTGTAGTGAAACTCTGGCACAACAATTTCCTGTGGGATCAATAAAGTTCTCTCTTATCTTTTCTTATTTCTTTGAACCTCTCCCGTTTTCCCTGTACCTGCTTCACTGATAAAACAAGGCATCTCGATTCATTGCTATGCTGATGATTGCCAGATTTACCTTCTTCAATTGCCAAATAATGTTGCTACATCCAGCTTTTACTAAAATATTGTTATGACTTCAATGCATTAATTGGCTATAAAAATTTAAACTTTAATGAAAAAAAAACCAAGCCCATTTTGTTCAGCACCGGCAGTTCCTCAGACACCCCTCTTGCCAAACTTGGCTCACTGGAGCTGTATTTTACACAATCCATTACAATTCCAGGTGTAATTTTGGATTCAGAGTACATTTTAAATAAACAGATCACTTCCATTCTAGAGAAAACTATTATTTATATTTATTTTTCCCCCCCGTTAAGACAGATAGCAAAACCAAAGCAAGTTTTGTCAAGGCATGACCTGGAAAGAACAAGACGTTTCTTTTTTTTAACCTAACCAGCACTGTGTGTTAAAGTTAGTTACACCTTCATTTCAAGTTAAATAACGTGTTGGATGATGAATCAACTCTAAAACCAATGAGTTGAATCAGTACCCTCAATGCGTCTGCTGACCCTGATAAATCTGCACAAGTCTTGACTGTAATGAAGGTGAACTGAGGTGATACTGCCTCCATCACTTTATGACAGACAGCTGTTTCAACATTTAAACACCAGCAGCAAACAGTTCATTCAACTTTCTTAGGAAAATAGTTTCATTAGTCAAGCAGTGGAATGCACACAGTGTCAGAACAATCAAATATTTAGGATTTCTCTTTTTTTTTTTTCCCACACAACACCAACCTTGTATTTATCACATCTTGTCATTACAATGTTTGAACAAACCTGAAATACTCTCACGATACTGAGCCACATTACACATCACCACTCCATCACCGACACGTGTAAATAAATAATTCACGCAAAAGCAGAGAGAGAAACCCAACGGAAAACTCCAGGGGCACAGCCACCCTATTTGCAGTTGTGGGAACTCTGTCAAAGAAAGAGTGCCTTCCCTAGAGGGACAGCGTACAAATGACACCCACTGTCTGCATTCAATTACCGGTACTACGAGAGAGGCCATGGGAGCTAAATCCTAAAGGAGACTGGGCCTCACAGAGAAGAGAGACTCATCCACTCCAAGCCTTAAGTAGAACTGTCTGCTGTAGTCAGCCTCAACTGTCCACTACTAATGTACAACATGTGAAACATGACGAACAATTCCATCTTTTACTCTCATCCACCAAATTACATGTGGATTACGCTTCTGACTCATTCTAAAAATCTAATTTCACAGACTTTAATTGTGCATCACAGCAAATTAGGGGTCTCTTTTGACTCCAGTGATCCAGAATTCTACGAATTTGTAAATGGAAAAAAAAAAAAAAAAGAGGTTATGTTTAAAAAAGTATGTTTCGTTGGCTTGCTTTGATTAGCCACATTTTTTGGGGAAAACAACCACAAGCATATTCCAAAGGAATTCTAATACAATAAGCAGTTGTTTAGGTAAAACAAAGCAGATTTATTTAACCAAGCTTTGGCAGCAATGAACACGGCTTTCTTGTTGTGTGGTGCGTCCCTAAATTACACTAGATATACTGCATCTTGGTACCACATTATAACACATCCGTGATGATAACCTAACCCACACACACCACCTAATTATGTTCTCCATCTGTGAAGGAGGCGTTGGTTTTTATTCCACAGTAGTTGCGTGTGATCCCTCGGGCTATACGTCTGTTTCTAAATGGATACAGTTGTCAGCTGAAAGAAAAACATTAACCACTTAACCCTGCACTAGAAGTCAGATATATATCAGTTCACATGGTCATATAGTAGATATTCAGTGAGTTAAGTTCATACACTGTGGCTTTCCTACAGATTACTTCTGTCAATTCAGTTCGAGTTCAGTTCATTTATATGGCTCCAATTGACAACAAATATCAGGGCGCTATATGAAAAAAAGTAAACGAGTCTAGTTAAAAATCAATCATATACAGTCTGGTTAAATCAAATTATAACCTGATCAGATTTGGTGTAATAACAAAGCATCGAGCATAAACCTTGATGTTCTGAACCACTATGGCCATGACCGCTTCAAATGAGTCAGCGGGGGAGAGCGTGGACTCCAGAAACCATCTTATCACCATTAAACTGGTCGACCCGTTATGTGAAGGTGCCATTTATAAGACTGAGTTTGTTGTGGCTCCTCAGACTGATGAAGTCTTTTGGATCAAAGACGAAATGTTTCAACAAAAATAAACTGTCCACAGGACCTGACTTAACATTGTTGCATTTTTCTACCTGGATTATTGAGCATGAACTTTGATCTATTGTCAAACAGTCTATTTAAGCCAGTGCAATTTAGATAAATGCGATTAAAGTAATTCAGCAAGTGCTCAGTTTACTTGACAAGAAAAAAAAAATAGTTACACGAACTAAGCATGCTTTTGTACAAAAAGTTGGCCATTTCGAAAAATAAAATTGGATAGTTTAACGCTGAAGTGCTAAAGAAGATCACTTTTTTTTAGTCTGCCTCGAGTGGCCAACCAAGGAACTGCAGTTGTTGACATCTGGGTTAGTAGCAGACTCGATTTAACCGTCTTTTTTTGTCACATTTCAAACGCTTACAAGGAAGCCCTACTTGACTAAATAAAGAGAGGGTTTTAAAAGCTAATTTGCACATGCTTAAGTATGAAACAGGTATATACAAAACACTTAAAATAACACTATATATGTTTCTGTAATATTAACTTGGATAAACATTATTCGTGTATCTGAGGACAAAAAGTAAAGTACAAAAAACTGCTAATAAAAACTCGGAGTTTTATATTTTGCCATTTCTAGCTCACGTTTCATTTGTGTTGTGCTATATTGCACGCCATGTTAGGATACAGTAAAAGCCACATGCTGGTTTCGCGCTCAGCTGGAAGTTACTGATCCACCAGCTAAGCTCGTGAAGCCATGCGTTGCCATATGAGTGTAAGACAATAGCTTCTGTAAAGCATCTCTTGCTGTTATATTGAGAGGGAGAGCAAGCCCTGGTTCTACACCTGTTGCTGTGGGCCATAAGGGACAAGCTATCTCCATCACTCTCATTTTTCACTCACCAGTGGACCGGGCTTTTGACAAGCATGACCATATGATTATAAAACTTTAGTGCCCACGCTGATAAGGCCAACTTATACGTGACTAAATCCAGGAGCTTAGGGACTTTTCATTGTGTTCAAGGAATGGTATAAATTTATCATAGCAGCATGTGGAGGCTTTCAGAAGATTATTAAATGTATCTGGAGTCCAAGGCAAAAGAAGGAGGAATAAGAAAAATATCATCACACTCAGGCTTTAAAGATTCAGCTTCTAAATTCACAGAAAATTTAACCAGAGTGGAAAATCTGAAGTACAAGAAGAGAGAGTGCACCTTTTTTTTTTTTATCTCTTTATCTGCTCAAGTTTTTAAGTAACGTTTTTACTTCATATTGCGTCTGTTTGTGTAAATTGTAGAACAAAAGTTTTGTTAAATGTGATTGATGAAGTCATGTCAACGATCAAGCAGATTGGAATCAAAGTTGGACAAATTTAATGAAATGTTTGTGCTTTTGTTCGGATTGTAAAAAAAAAGAGCAAAACGTGCATTATTGTATTTAGAAATAAATTCTAGAAAAGATAAATATATCTTTGAAGTTATTAGATGAAACCAGCTTATTATGTTTGTTTTGTTGCTTCCTGTTGCTTCATCCAGACGTGGCATAAAATAATGCAATTCAAGCCATCTTTAGCACAAACCACAGGAGAATAAATAATTGAATAAAACATGCAGTGGTTTTTTAAAATACACCGGCAAATAAATCCACAACATATTTTTCTCCGTGTTGAACTGATTCTAAGAAGCCTAAATCCTGCGGTGGAGTAAAAAGTAAAGGAGACCGAGACACTGGTTTTGGCTGCTTCGAGTGAGCCTGGCTGGCATGTGACTGGGAGGAACCGCCGCCTGGCAAACCACATGGAAATACTGTGTATCAAACACCAACAGGCCCGTGTAACACATTACTTCCAGTGTGGCACAAGAACAAACACACTGAGCTCATTATGCTTAACTCGTAAAGTGTTGGCCTTGAATTCAAACCACAAAACGCATATAAAAAATAAAAAAAAAAACACAAAAAGATCCTTAAAAGTTTAGGATTTAAAATTAATTTTAATAATACAAATAAGTTTAATTAATTGTACAGAATATTCAAATTATTATAGCATCTACAGTATGTATTTATTTATTTTTTTATGTCCTCCTTTTTGTTTTAGGCAGAAACGCTGTAGCTCATTGTGGGAGGCATGCTGGCTCACTGATTGATCTTTTGACCTTAAAGCGAGAAAGCAAAACACTGACTAACAAGAGAAATGACATTTCCATGGGGGTCTGGGCACATTTACACATTAACTGCACTTATGCAATTAACACTGGCGTGCACTCTGCCCCTTATTTATGAAAAGGACCTAAAGTATGAAAATATCTCACAATTATCATTTCTTATAAAGCAATTCAAATGGCACTGAAACAATCATAATATGGTGTAAATAGAGCAGATCACATACGCTGTTTTCACTCGAGCCAGACACCGGGTAGACCGTCCAGCCGAGCTCTGCCGTAGCTGTGGTGGAGTCCATGAGCGTCTCTGTGAAAACACAAAACAAAGACATGGGGTCAGACAAACTGCTGTTGTGTAAGTGATGCTGTTCTTCGAGGAAAAACGTTCATGCAACACAATCCTTCTGAAAACCAGAAAATGTTTTGAAGAGTTAAAACATGTTACCAACATTTTTAATCACATTTACAAGATTCGCATGGTGGAGTTTTGCAGCACTGGTTTAACAAAACGAATAGTTACGATGCTGCTTTTGGTTCAGTATTTGCTTGAAATGTTTGCGTGTGGTTTCATAAAAGCTCCGGCACATTCTGGTGATGTTGGGAGAACAAGTGAATCATGCTTATTTCTTTGAGGAAAACAAAATTACGGCAAAGTAAGCCTCTATGGTGAATGGAACACTGAATACCGTGGATTAGTTGGTGGAAAGAAACATTTCCTGCAATTTAGATTAAAAAAAATAATAATAATGTTCCTCATCAGTTATGAGGATCTTGGTGGCAAAAACTCCTCCAGTCAGGCTTTTCTGTCCTTCTTTTACATTCTTAGGTTCTTCTTCTTTGACGCTTATTTTTTAAATCTCTGTAAACACGCCCTCATGTCTGCGTTCGCAGCCAAAACATCCTCTCAGCTCTGACGTTTTCCGTGTGCAACACAGAGCAGGTCTAATGAATTTCTCTAACTGATTAGGTCTGTGTCAGTCTCGCACTCCAGGGTTGAACTGCCGCAGATGGAGAGACCATTCATCAGCTTCAAGGCGTCAGCTGCAACTCCAAAATGCCACAGAGGGCTTTAGAACCAACCCCCCCCCCCCCCCCCCCCCACTGACAAACACAGCTACTAATCTTAACATAAGTCACCATCAGTGACTGTGATGCAGGTCTGCTGGCTAGACAACTGCACGTTGTGGCTTGATGGACTGATTGACTAAACAGGAGCTACCGTGTTTTTCGGCTTATAAGTCGCAGTTTACATAATTTACATCCCCTGCAACTTATAGGCCGAAGCGACGTATTTATGGAGTTTTTTTCTCATATTTATAAACCAAATTTTGGCTGAGATATGACCGTTTTCATTCATTCTGACTGGGGAAAAAAAATTGAGCAGTACTACTATCAGCCACTTGATGGAAGCAGAGTAGTAATAGTAGTATGGCATGCCGTTATATCAAGTAATAGGTAAACGTGGGTATAAGGACAAATTCAAAAAAGTTTAAGACAAAAACAACTTTACTTTATAATTTATCGTTTTTTTTGTCTTCAACTGTTTTTTGAATTTACCATGTCCTGGATGACTGAGAATCTTCACCAGATATTTTTCATTCATTCATTCAACCTTTATTTAGACAGGTTAATCCCATTGAGCCTCGTGGACTCATTTACAAGAGAGACCTGATTTCAGCAAAGAATGATGACAACAGTGACAACAATATACAATCATAAAAGAGGCATACAGATTTTCTTTTTTTTAATGCAAATTAAAATAAGATGGCAAAAAATAGCAAAAGCAGCTAGATTATAAAGGTGAATGTAGAAAACTAAAAACAGGAACATGTCTGCATTGGTCCTTGCCAGGAGTCGAACAGATTCTTAAAGCCACATATTATTGACACAGTCGACTTGCCATAGACCCCACCTTGTTCTGCTCGATGCTTGAAACCATCAAGCCAGCTCCACCTATACTATAATTTCAAGCAAACAAATAATTGTTTTTAAATGTTAATCTTGTTAAATTCTTGTTAAAGTCCTCACGTGCACACTCCCACGGCCGCCATTTGGCAGCCAATCGATTTTTGGCACAACACTGGCGCACATTTCCGGGTTGTCAACGGTGACGCATAATAGATACGACGTATACGGTGAAGTGACATATTGATGGATTTTTCCACTTTATTAGACAAATATGGACTAATTCGACTTATAGGGCGGAGCGACGTTTACGGCGGAAATTACGGTAATACTATGGGTTGGGTGAAAGCAGAACTTTGCAAATAAAGTCAATAAATCTAATTTAATGAAATCTCAAACATAAAAGTTATTTAAGCAGGCAATGAGAGTTTACATGACTAACAGGTTTTTGTTTGCCCTTCATGTGTTCAGTTCCGCTGAAAGATTTCCACTTGTTTAATAACCTTGAATTTCCTCTGATTTAGATTCTGAAGAAAGACTCGTCTTTAATTAACAGGCTTCACGTGCATTGGTGTATTTCAGAGCCTTTTTTGCTGACTTTCAGAATTTCACCACAACTCAAAGACATAATACTAGATTTCACATCCTATTCAGTTATGACAAAGCCCAAATCTTATAATTAGACAGATGAGACTGCAATTGAGCAGCTATTGATAAGCTTCTGTGTGACTCCGAGTCGAGCAGTCTACATGGGTGTTAGGCAGTGAAATGGTAATTATCCCCCATAATGATAACGATAATTAGTGGGGGAGTAAAGCGAGAATAATGAACCCCCTCTGCGGTGGTTTGGAGTGTTGTGGGGGGACAGGGAGCAAATTTCTGCAGGAATGTTAACAGTGACTGAACGGCACGTCATCCTCTTCACCAACCGCACATTCTCTTTGTTTCTTTTTTCCATCTGATTCACCGCTCGCTCTTCTTTTGCTCCTCAATGACACTTCCTTCACACTTATTTTGTCCTCTTCCTTTCTTCACCTTCTCTTTTTACAGACCTTCAATCCCTTCCTTGCCCTTTTGTTGTTTTTATTCATGCTCCGTCTCTCTCCGGCTATCAGTGACCCACATGCTAGACAAGTAGTACCTCACTGTGAAAGACTGATCACTTTTCCTCCTCCTGCTGTCTACACTTGAGCCTCGGCAGCCACACAGATTCATTACCTCCCATGAGGCCGAGCAGCACATAGCTCACCACTGTCATCTGCAGCCTCGCTCTCAGTCTGAACACCAAGACATGGCAGAGTGCGAGCGCTCTGCAGAGACATGCTGGATAAATTAGTCAGGAGGAGGACATGACATATACAGTAAGGTTCTTGTGGGAATGCAAAAGAATCACTTTTTGTTTTCTCTTGTGCAGACGTGTTTACATGTGATCATTTTAATCTTGCCCCTAGAAATCAAGTTATCACTTGTCCTACACAAAATCTCTTTCTGGAATGTCCTCCAAAGCAAAATGCCACATTGTAGTAAACATGAATACCTCTAAAATGTTTGGTAACATGAGAATTTAAAATGCTTTACAGACCTCACACAATCTCCACAAGAGATTTCTTAAAAAAAATTAAAAAAATGTAATGAAACACAACGTGCCGCAAAACCAGGTGCAGCCTGACTGTCAACCAAAACAGTTAAAGCATCAATCTGAGTATTTTCACTTAAAATAAGTGCTACCTTAAGGGCTTTATTGTCTTTGCTGTACAATGAATGTACAACATTTCCTTTTACTTGAGTGTTTTGTAACTTCAAGAGCACTCAAAAACAGACTTGTTGCGTTAAACAGATTACGTTCTTGAACTGAGTGCTCATTTTCATCTTTATTGAAGCTAGAGAGCTTACATGCATTTTGCATTTCATGGCTATGAGTCTATAGTAGTCCCTCGTTTATCGCAGGGGATCTGCACCCTGAAGCCTCGCGATAAGCCATCTGCAAGCGTTTTTGGGCACGCTCACGTCTCCGCTCTGCACGGAGATCAGCTGATCAGCCGCAGCAGGAAACTTAACCTGCAGTGTGGGCTGCACAAATGTGCAGCAGATGCTAAATAATTTAAAATAATTAATTTGGGTGGTGACAGTTTTGATGTATTGGTAAATATTTGCAATCAGATTTGACAAGTAAAGTTTGCAGATAACAGCGCTATGTTTACATTCAATGCACACTTGCATTTCAGAATTACATAATAATACTAGAGCCCGACATATATATCGGTAGGGCCGATATTTTATGACAATGTAGGTGTTTGGGGATATATCTGTATCAGTGATAAATGGTCAATTATGTGCCAATATAAACACTTCTAATAATATAAACACTTATAATTTTCACCCCTATAATGCTGGGAACCAGCCGTAATTGCACAATGTATCCAGCAGAGGGTGCATGCAGACTTCTTTCAAGTCATGGCCATTCACTTTAACTTTCACTTTCAGTACAGTCGAAGCAGGGAGCAATACTGTGTAACATATTTTACTGAACAGAGTGTTGTAAGTTCATTTTAACTGATCTGTAAAATAAAACAATAATAAATTATCTTCAATTCTCCAACCCGCTTGTCATTAGCTACATGCCTCTCAAGTTAGCAAGCTAACGTTTAACATAGGCTATTGTCTTGTAAAACTTTATCCAGAACAATAAATCTAACTTAGAGGTAAAATATATCAATGTTAGTAGCATTATCTTTGTTGTTCTCAATGAAATGCATTGTTTGTCTGAAATATTTACTTCTCTGCAAAGAAAAAATAACTAAATGCAGCTGCGGTCAGTACTAATGAGACCTTCACCATACGTGACCGAGTGTTTAAACAATGAACAGGGAAGGGTGTTTCTTTGTTTCATTTATATTTTTGTAACGCAATCGATAACTTTTATGGTGAATAGTGGAGGATAGAAAATGTGAATGCACATTAGGAAGACTGTTTCAAGACTTTGTGGTAAAACAGGCTTAAAAGATTTACTTAGATTGTAGAGTGGCCTTTCTTTGTATGTGAATGTTACTGTAAAGTGTCCTGAGACAACTTTGTTGTGATTTGGCGCTATATAAATAAACTGAATTGAATTGAGTGGACAAAGAAAAAAAAAAAATTCAGCTATTACATATATCGGTTATCAGCATTAGCCTTGTGCGAACAATATCGATATCGGCAATAGTCAAAATTTCCATATAGGTTAGACTCTGAAATAATTTACTACAGTGAAGTTGCTGATATATTAAACAGCATATTTTTTTATTTAATTTGGGGTACTTTTTTTATTTCATAGTTATCAATACGACTGCTTTGTCAGGAGAATAAAGTAAAAAAAGTGGGAGGAAAAATTCTTCTTTCAGTTTTGATTTAAAAAGGTTGTTCATTGATCGCTTCCCTCATCCATGAATAGCCTGGCATTTTGAAATACACTCCGCAACATTAAGCACTGTGATCCGCAATGTCTCACCCAGTTGATTAAAAAACTGTCTCAGTATAAGTTTTATTGTCTAATGACGGCCTGTTTGTTGCGTAATGGATTTGTTCAGCCACTAGAATATTTAGTTTAGGACACATCCAGTGCCAAAACATCTGGTGACAAATTGCATCCTCTCAATTTCCCACCTACAGCAGTAACTGTCTTTACATTATTTGTGTGACAGTTAGGTGATGCATAAAAGTATTGTATTTGTTTGAGCTCATGGGCAAGTGGTCTCAATGTTGGCAGTTATAGAGAAACAATCCTTCACTGACTTCACAGCCATATTTTCAAATACATATGAAAATGCATATTAACAATAGGACAATGAATAAATAAAACCTTTTAACTCGATAGACTCAACTGTAGAAGGACCAATGAATATGCAATGAGCTAGAAGTCTAAGAAAAGCCTAGTATGAGCGGAGTGTTTCCTCCAACACTTCCAGGGACTAAAGAAGAGAGTTTAGTGCTGATCTTAGAGAGCTCTCAAGTGAGGGGCTGTCCAAATTGACAGGCGATGAGAGTAGCAAAGGGGGCTGCGGTACTATAACAACTCCCTTCTTCTCTAAGAGGGGTCAACACTGCAACTCGGCTTTCTAAAGAAAGCAGCTGCATTTTCAATGAAGAACGCAGAGAAGACATGTTTACAGAAAAGCCATTTTTGTACAAACAACTACTGCAAGTAAGAAAATAATCAGCAAATACATACAGACAAGACTTCTGACCCAAAATCATTTGTTAGCCATGGAGCGTAGCTCTATCAGTGTTGGTTATTTTATCCTATTGTTTATGCTGACTGCCAGATTGTTTACTGTGAATAAAATCTGTGCACTTTCTCTCCACGTAGGTTTGTTTTCTTGCAGCTCTAATTTTTTTTTCTAGACAGCTTGTTTTTTTTTACATTTGCAGCTGGTTTACAGTGGTGACTGACAATTTATGGTTTGGCCAAAGGCCATAAATCCCAGTTTGACAGCTGGATCACCAATTAAGTGGGGCTAGATAGACAGATTCCAGCAGTCTGAGTGATGGATGTCTGCTCTGTCATGATAAATATCCAAACAATGCTCGCACATTTTTTTTTTTCTTGGCTGCCAACCTCAAGTCTTGGACTAGAAGGCAGCTGGACTTACTTTTGTTTTCTTAACGATGTTTCCACCTTTCATCAAAAAGTCTTCTTCAGTTCGGAGAGCCAGTTGGGAGTTTCAAGCTCATAAGTTGTGGATGTGCCTCAAATTTCCATTTTAGTTTCTTTGTACCAGCTACAATTTTTAAGACGGAACCTCCTAATCCAGTATCAGATACAACTGGGTGGTGGTGGTGGGTGGTATTTTTTTTTTATATATATTTATTGCAAACCAGACACGAACAATTCTGAATCAGCTTTAAAAAAAAAAGTCAAAATTTGGTTATTATTCATCATCAATGAAATATTCGTGTCACATGTGCAGTCCAGTACATACGGTGTAAACGCAGCAATAAGATGAAACAACGATGGATGAAGAGACTAACACATTTTCTAATTTGGGAGTTAAATGAATATTGTCAGTCCTTTTATAAGAGAAAGTTGAACACACTCAAATCAAAGAAAAGGTTCATACCAAAGTTTAAAGCAATATAGTTTTCTTTTAGGTCTGAGATATTATATGTATGCTCTGGATTTTGTTGAACTGTTATTATGGGTGCACCATGAGGCATCAGTAATCTTTTTAGAATCGCATCGTAACGTCTGATTGGTAACAAGATCAAATAAAAAAAGCCTAACGATTACCCACTCCTAGTACCTGAACTGAAGAAGTCCTTTGCTATTGTTGGATGTAACTGGGACCCTGTGTACACAATCCCGTTCCACCTCGTGCACCACATGTGATGCGAATGACAAAGAACTTGACCTTTGAATGGTGGTAAAATGTCCTAATGAAACAAGGGAGAAAGTACCTGCTTTCTATTCAGACAGTTGGGGTTGCCATGACCTGAATGAATAAAAATCTGTACTAACAACTGCAGCTTTTCAAACAGAGATTTCATAGCTGCAGGGACAAATACATGTGAAGCTAACTAGCGAACATTTTCTCCATTGCCCTCTTTTCTCAGCATGCAAAATTCAATTTGGCAAAGTGCTTTGCATGTTATTGCATCACATAAAAATTCTTGCATTAAAAAGACTTTGACACTGCAGCTCAAGCAGGAATCAAAGAGAATGAAGCAATTTTCAAACAAAATAGTCCATATTTAGTTCCTGTGGTTTAACAAGGGTGTTTTGAGAAAGCATTTGACCTCCAAAACAGCATGAATCAGCTTAGAAGTGTAATTTTTTTTGTGTGTTTTGTTCTTTTTGCCAACTGAACCGTAGTCTTTGTATTCAACAAATCCCTAAATATTTAATTTAAAAAACGGACAAAGCACAAACTTTGCTTTCCTTTGCCGCCAAAGAGCAGCTAAAGTTTGACCCATAAAAGCTATGTTTTGTAAAGTTCTGTTAAAACACAAATGAAAGGCAAATATATTTTAAGAATTAAAAACAAACTCTTACAGCAAATGTGGGAAAAGTGCAATGTGCAACACAGGGTAGCATATGAGCAGCTGGTCAATGAGCTAAAAACGAACTCCTTTATAGTTGTCCAAGTATAAAAATCTTCCCAGAATAAGGGGAAAGCCAAGGATATACTCCTGGGGAAGCTAGAGATGTGATTTATAGCTTTAATGATAGACAGGACTACTGTACGGCCTGTTGGAAATAATAACAGCCTGTTTCATTTAGATGGAAGAAGTGGATAGAGGCCCTGGTCTAGAGAAACCTGACTTAACTTATCTGTCAGCACGAGCT